ATATCATATAGTTCACTTATATCATCCCTTAGCCAGTTCAGATGTTCATCCACATATTTTTCTAGTCGTTTAACTTTTTTTTTAAGCTTTTTATGCTGGGAATAATAATCATCCAACCTTTTCACTAATGCCCTATTTTCACTGGAAAGCGCAGTATATACTTCTGCATTTTGCTCGTCTAGTCCAAATATCTGGGCTAATTTCTTCGTATATCTGATAACTTCCTGCTCGCTGGATACATCAGATGAATGCTTTTGATCGGTTACCATTTTCGTGATATATATGCTATATCTTAGGCGAATGAAAAAATAAAATTAATAAACTCCTTTGATCTATCAATCATTTTCATCGAAGAGCTCACGTAGCTGTCGGCGCTCTTTTTGGATTTTATTAGATTTTCGAATAAGGTCTGGATCCTTGGCATAGTTATTAATAATTTCAGGATTCACTCCGGCTTTTGCTAATTCCTCTCGAAATCGGTATTGTCGTGAGGCACTTGCTATGACTTCTTTTCTATCATTATTTTTCGGTCCTAAATCCATACTATGGCGGTGAATATCCCACTTATTACCGGCATTGGCACAATATTCCGCCCTTTTCTCTATAGTCAGTTTTTCTTTTCTCTTATCAGGTAGGAGAGCCTCTTTCTTCTCTTTACTATACTTGCGTCGGGTTAGGAGATCTTTAACACATTTTCAGGCATTCTGATCCTGCAATGATGCATCAAGCTCTTTGTTATGTTCACTCAGTTGTTCTGGGCTGGACTCAGTAGATAAGTTATATTTTTCTAAGAACTGTTCTAGAATCGATTTAAAGTCATTAGCTTTGGGTTTCCTTCGGGTCATGCCAACGATAAGTAGTTTGATGTTGTCTTACGGCCAATTTGAAATTTGCAGATAGGATAAAGCGAAAAAAAAAAAATAATAATAATTTGGATTTATATATCGCCTAATTGTAAAGAACAAAAAGACCTCTTACCAAACACCTCATCTATTAACCGGTTCGTTATTCGCTCTTTACCAAAGCATACCATTCTCCTGGAGTATGCTTGTATTTTTTTGCCACTCCTCGTCTGTGTCAAGCCAGGAGGACGTAACTCCCTCATCTTCAAAAGAACGACGGATAATCTCTTCTCCTATCAGTCTTTCCCGTACTGTCATCTCCATATATTCTTTGGGATCATCTTCCGTCTCTATAGCCCAAGCACACACCCGAGCATCAGCTTTCATCCTATTCCGGAATATAAGGCGGTCGAGCCTGTCTTTTTCTGTGATAGTCACGAATACGTCTGAATTCTCACCAAGCTCGACTGCCTTTTTTCTGAGGCGCTCTTCTCGCTGAGCCCTGCATAGGAGAATGGCGGATGATACTTCACTAGGCTTGGATGAATCGACTGGGATCTCTTTAGGAGGTGTATTCATGTTTTTACTTATGGACTTGTTAGATTCGGGAAGCTCGATAGTCTCTGGTTCATCGATTACTGGTTCAGGTCTTTTAGAAGTCTCGGATGTACCAGATGTTGAGGCGACCGGAGCACGTGTATCTTCTGTCACATAGTCGAAAAGTGCTTGAGTCGAATCATCCTGTTTATTCCCTTTCTTATCTTTTTTAGTACTAGGTGAGGGGGTACTCATTTTTGTCTGAGGCGGGATTATTTTTTGGGAAATAGTTTCTGGTACATTGAATATAGGTATGACTGTGGCCTCTTTAGCCGGCAACTCATCTTGAGGTATATCGGAAAATTCTTCGATATCACCTAGGCCAGATTCACAGAGTTTGGCTACGATCTTGGAGCGGTCAAGTATATATTGCCATTCCCTTTTTCCGCCACCTGTCCACGCTTGTTTGCTCTCAATACCAATATCTGAAAATTTCTTCCCAGCAATGTTATTAGAAAATGGCTTTTCACCATTCTCTCCACACCATTCAAGATACTTCTGATATAATAATGTACGACTTGGACTGGCTATTTTAACCCCATACCATGAAGAAATATAGTCAATTATAAATCAGATGGGATTAGGTAATTGGTCTCGCATTGTTTTTATCTTCATTTTAGTACTGGGAATATCTTGTGGTTTGTAATTTGAGAGGTCACGACTAAGAAGATATTTCATGACTACTTCTGGCGCATCGGGATGGTCTATAACTACAGCCAAGCGATCAAAATATGCTATATTACCTCTACAGCGTGCAGATACTTCAAAACAGACCGCTCGTGCATCTCCTATATCTATTTTGAGTGGGGCATCATGATTGCTTGTTACCATCCACCCAGAAAAGTCTCTTAATCGTAAAGTTTCAAGGCCCTTTCGTTCTACATCCACCTTTCCAGTAGTTATGAAATCTTTGAGACGGGAATTAAACTTATGCCAATCACCACTAGACATCCCTGTTTCATTTAAAACAATGAGTTTGCGCCCTTGAAGGGGACTGTTGAATTTACCAAGAATTTTTTCCAAATCTGATGTAGCGAAATGAAGATGTGGTCCTAGGACTTTGTCACCAATAAAATCTGTGATAATGTTTTTCCCGCACTGTTGCAGTGTAGATTTTAGTACTAAAATAGATCGAGGCTTTTTTTCTGGCTTCTGCACTAAATACGCCCACCAGTTCCAGATATATTCATTAAGCTCTTCGTTAGCATCACAGATAATATTTTGTACGTGCCAGAGAATCGGGTCCATAATTTCTTTATTAATTTCCATTACTGGCTTAGCCAGAAATCCTAGGAAAAGGTTAAAGAAATCCGTAACTGCTTGAGGAATGTTTATGGGGTATGGGAGGAAATTTATATCTTCGTAAGTTATTAGACCTTTAACATGTGCCTGGTCTATTAATGATCTCAACTTCACTGATTCACCCCATATTCGATTATTTTGATCTCATACTTCGCAAGCTTTAGCTCTGGCGTCATACCGAAATAAAGCCCATTTTCCGAATCCTTACGTTTTAATACCCAGAATGGTTTTTCAGTTTCAATATAGGCAATAGTTGCCTGAATTGCTTCATAAACTTCAGCGCGGGAGAATTTCTTACCTGAAGTACACATACGTATTAAGTTCCACCATACAAAATGATCATTAAGATTTGAAATTCTGGATTGGTCTAGTTTTGTAGGACTTGGGAGCTTTTGTTCTCGATCCAAGGCAGTTTCACTAATAGTAAGCTTTTTCGAAGGTTTCCTGGAGCCGGGTTCCCTATCATTGTTTGCCCGGTAGCAGAAAAAGCTGTAGGATTTTTTATTTCGAATAATATATCCATTATCACTATCATGTTCTCGATCACATAATGGGCAGTGTGATGGAGAGATACGCGATAGTGGAAATTTGTCAGGAAAATTTTCAGATGGATATGATAGACTATATCCTTCGATGCTAGCCTCTTGAAGTAATGTCTCTACTAATTCGAATTCAGCATCGGTGGTAACATTATTTGTGCTAAAACATCCCTCCATTTTTGCTTTCGAAATAGCCAAGAGAGGACTGTTGTCAATGATTTCTGACTCATCGTTGGGCGGGCGAATCATGAAGTCAAAGACAGATCCATCTTTTGGATGTATAGCTTTTTTTACTCGTACGTGAGTGTTAGTTTTTTCTTCAAACTTAGGTGTTCCAAGCATCCGCAAGGAGAATGTTCGTTTATTTGCTATGTTATCGATAACACTATTTGCCTGTAGATCCACTGGAAGTTTTTTACGAACGAGCTCAGTAAATACTGCAACTCGGGCAATATTTGGAAGTCTCATACCAAAAGTCGAGATATGGTAAGACATTTTTTTCGCATCACTACTGCTAGCAATGGTCATAGTTTTAGGATCCCATTTCGGGAATACCTCCAAACATGTTTTTCTAAATGCAAGAATAAGTGAATCTAGTACCTCTTTACCTGTAAGCTTAGGTTTGATGGAATTATATACCTCTCGTGGTAGATCAAAATCTATAATAGGCCGGAGTGGCTCATCTCCATCAATGAATTCGTGTAAGGAATGGCCTTCACGGTCTGAGAGTATGGCTTCTATTTCGTCTTCATTGTCTGCGCCTAGAAAATGCCTTGGCCTAACACTATCATCCCAAATTTTATATAGAGATGCACCTATATCGGAGGCTCTGTATCCTTGATAGTACGGGGCGGAGGCGTCGAAGAACTCTGAAAGTGAGGATTGTTCGGTCATGATATTATATCGCAAATATACAGTTCGGGAGAAACTATATACTCC